ACACCAACCAAGATTACCTTCTGCATCAGCATTTCCCTGTTCAGCAGCTTTTTGATACCATTCAACTGCCTTTTGTTCATTCTTTTCTATCCCAGTTCCACATTCTAGTTCATAACAACAACCAAGATTATATTGTGCTAGAGCATTTCCCTGTTCAGCAGCTTTTTGATACCATTCAACTCCTTTTTATTCATTCTTTTCTATCCCAATTCCTTTTTCATAACAATAACCAAGATTAACTTGTCCATCAGCATTTCCCTGTTCAGCAGCTTTTTGGTACCATTCAACTGCCTTTTGTTCATTCTTTTCTACTCCAGTTCCACGTCTATAACAATGACCAAGATTGCATTGTGCATCAGCACTTCCCTGTTTACATTTTGTCTCTTGTTCTAGTTCTTCAACTATTTTTCGAAACAATTCAATTGTTGCCTTTGGTTCATTCTCAGGGATCGGAACTATTAAAGAACCACTTTCCAAATGTTCCAATCTACAATGGCTTTGCTTTTGAGGGCCTGGCTAATCGAGATTCGTTGGCGTATGTCGATACTTATGGCTTGGCTCCAATAGAGAATAAGCGGGCAATATTTCGTGGAACTTTGCGATATAAGGTAGAAAGAAAATCAAGAGAATGCAAATGTTGTGATGAAATTATAGATACATATACGATAATATCCTGTTATCATTCGATTTTTGTTATAATGAACCAGGGATTCTCCGATTTAATGTATTCGTTTGTTAATATCGGGTTATTGGATTCGGGTGAGATGACCAGACAAATTGATAATTGGGTAAATTTTACACTTTGATTGCTATCGGTCTTTTATGCGAACATGACAATTTTGTGACGCGTTTCTCGCAAATGTTTACAGACAGACTTTCTAGATTATTTGTTATTCGACAAATCTAATGTGAATAATCCAAACAATGAATCCAGAATTGACGCAATAGCGGATAAGATAAAGCTATCAAAAGACCACGAAATGCTTGAGAACGTCATCGATGCTTTAACATGGTAAGAGTCCTTGTTGTAATGACAATATTCTGGCTAAACTAGTGCAATCACATATGTTCTGTTTGTTAACAAAATACATCTTCCAAACCTTCTTCTAGGTTATCCCTGTTTCCCAAGTCGTCCTCCAACACGCAAGTGCCTTCATTTCCAAATGTCAAGACACCAATCGATGCGTTCTGTTTCTTGCTACAAAACAAGCTCGCGTACAGTGAAGGAGAGACCGATCTGGTAGTGCTTCATCACGAATTTGGAGTCAAGAATAAACAAGGCCTTGAGGTGGTGTATTTTCTCATTATCAGAACCCAGTATCAGCTCTATCATTCCCTCGTTGACTATCTTCTCCTTTCTCCTTCCTTAGGAAATACGTACATCAACGTTGGTTGAATATGGTACTCCTGGTGGATACACTGCTATGGCAAAGGCAGTTGGGTTACCTGCTGCAATGGCTGTTGAAATGATACTTCGAGGTAAGCTCCCTCACGGATCGAACATCCAATTTATATGTGAACACAAATTTCAATAATTTACTTGATCATTTGCAGATAAAGTCAAAGAGTGTGGAGTATTATCTCCCACGTCTCCGTATATTTATAAGACAATATTGGAGAATTTGTACTCTCAAGGAGTAAGAATCATAGAGAATACTAGTATCAAAGGGATGGCATCAAGCTTAAGTTGGAGCGGAAGTGGAATATGGGAACGCTGATAATGTGATAAATGAAAGCTTTTTTTACGTTAATTGTAGAATTTTATTAAGACAGGCTATCATTGCTGACAATGAGCCCAACTAATAATAATGACCACGAAAAATTGTAATAGTCAAGTCTTTGCTTGAAAGAACGAAGAGTATGTTGGTAATATTTCTGCCCGGGTGCGATGCTTTGACAATGACAAGTGAAACGTCGGTGGCATGCTATTGTATGTCAAGTCAAATGGTCGACGTTGTGAAAACCAGAGTTTGATCCGGTGTTGTTTTGAAGTACCAAATTAAGCGTTTCGTCAGCAAGGAAATTGACATCATTGTTAACTGTGGTCATGCATCCGGTGCCAAGGAATTCTTCATGGGTGGGAACGAAGAGAACTCACAGGTAAGGTGCATAGGTCGAACAGAATCGCCTGATGGCATTGTTTATCATGTCATTAAGTGCGGCATCTGATCTCTGGAGTGATTCGGACCAGCATCGTTACCAAATACTGCCCAGAACTTTAAGAAAAAGTATGAAAAAGCAAATTTGTTTATTGACAGCCAAATAAGAAATCCCGCAAATATTAGAATAAGTTAAGCCCTCTATCTTTATACTGATGTTAAGGGTGAGGCATTTGAACACTTGGTATAATCGTGCCTGTAACAACAACAGCATCAATGGCAAGCCCCTTAAAAAGGTCATCATAGCGCCCTCTGTATTCAAAGCCATGAGATGACCTGATCGCTTTTCAGCACGATTTGATATTTTTCGGTAATTATTTTAACAACGGGAAAAGTTTGTGCAGGACGTAAAAATAGAAATAACATGACAGTTTGTGTAATACTCTAGTAAAGTAATATAAATAGGGGGAAAAATGCTTAAAAGACGAGTGGCGAAGCCACCCATTGATTTAACTTCATCGATTACTTTCATTGTCGACAGATGATCGATCCCGGGATCAAGTCCTATTTCATTCAATATGGCTATGCCTGCTTCCTTTGCCCTTTAGAGACAGCAAACGGTCAATAGAAATAATGCGCACGGATTCCTTTTTGAATACAAATTTACGCCTTTCTCCCACACACCCACACACCAGTGCTGTGGCTCTGACATGCTTACTTTTCATCCAAGTCTCTCATGGCCGGTGATATATAACTCGCAGTAACCATATGCTTCTTCATTTCAATACAAATCTTTGCAATGCTCGGATGTAGTGGAGCAGGAACGAAACTTTATAATCGTCGAACTTGTAGGTTAAATACGTTATTTTATTTCATGTCGTTGTTTATACAGAAAAGCAAAAATAAATATATATGAAAGTAATGGGTTATAATTCACCTTACAACTACATCACAACTATCTACCAATGTCTTCATCCTCCCAATATCACGAACATCTAGTTCGGCAATCTCTATTCCGTCGAGTCCTTTGGTCAATGCTGACGCTTCTAGACTGGCGTTGCTTGCTGTCATAGAAAAAGTTAATGGTTCTTAGCCTTTTAAAGTTTAGGATAACTCCAGTTGCTAGCAATCACGATACGTACCAACAGTGATATCTACACCTTCCAATTTATTTAAATAATCGACCAGAGGTTTTGCGACAAACCCACTCCCCAATACCAGTACACGTTTCCTTTTTTCATTATGTTGTTGTGTCTTTTCTTTTTCAATACTTTGCAACTTGTCATATAGATGACTATATGCAGGGGTAAGGCTGCCATCTTCGGCAATTATAGCACGTTTGAGAACAGAATTTGTAATCGCGTGTTTTTGTATCTGCATAAAATCACGTTGTAATTTCAAACAATAAGTTATTCTGCTCATTAATTTTTGTGGGCAAAGAAATTTTATTATTGTTTTGTTTTTACTTACCAGTTCTAGTATGAACGGATAAAATGCTTTACTGAAATGTCGACTACTTTCGAAAGGAATTTCAGTAGGTAGAATGTCTACGGCCATGATTTGCGTTCCTTTGCGTGCCATACTTTTGATATGAAGTAGAAAGAAAAAAAAGGAAATAAATATCTTGTTTCTTCCAGTCGTGGGAAAAAAGGTGGGGGTTTTTTTGGTATTGTACATACTCCTTATGCTCTTCTCCGGCGATAGCATCGACATAATAGAACGGGTCGTCTATCGTGGTAGAATGAGATGTAAATTCCAATGGTCCCTAATATAATAATTAATTTCACATAAGATTGCGAGGCTACAATTTACATACTCTTCCTTTCACATGTTATGAATATAAAAATACCTTAATGTCACAGCTAATATCCGCGATACTCAACAGTCGATGCTTTATGTTCGGGTCTGCTTGAATTGATCGAAGGTGCTCGGTTGTGAGTAGCCTTGGATATCTGGCATCCCAATATGAACCATGAATCAACATTGTCGTATATGGAGAGATCTGCGAGAAGAAAATACGACAAAATTAAATTCTAGTAATAATTCCGACACTTTTTCCGATTCTTTCATACACTGGTCCATTTGTATTAGTTATAATAGTGGCGGGGAAAAGTGACCCTTTCTTGACTGTCATCAAGAAATAGGATTCCTCAATAGAATGAACAAACAGTATCCCCTTAAACTCTATTTTCTTTGTTTACCTCAGTGTGAAAGATTGAAATGTACTTATCCGGGTTAGCATAATAGTCGGATTTTGATTCAAATTTGTTAGTATCTTTGCGACGTAAATAATCTTCCAACTTCACGTGACATGCGTAAAGCCGCCTACTCCTTCCGTCTAAATGTTTGCAACTGACTCAATATATTGTAGTTTGAAATATATAAATAAACAAAAAGATTCTTACATTTTCCGTTGGCAATTGATTTCAAGTCCTTTGCTTCCACATATTCATGAGGAAGTTCTCTAAAAATATCTTGAGCTCCCTATCGCAGATATCGTTTGTATGACAATTTAGTGCTTGCTTTGCCTGCCTTTCTCCCCTTTTGCCTATCCTTTTTCCCTACCTTGGCGACATTTCCACTACCAGTAAACACAAAAGTCATTGGACCGATCTCACTAGGTAACCCATCTTTGGTAATTGTATCACCAACTGCTCGTACTGTCGATCTTGCCGATGAGAGCGTGTCGTAAGTATAAGACATGCCGATATGCTATTTTAGGAATTGTAGTCAAATAACAAATAACAAGTATAAAGTTACATCGATAACGATAAGAAAATGCATACCATGAATGGCGTATTATATCCTAGTCCAAGCAACCGCAGTCCCAAACCATGCAGTCCGTCGATCATTCCTTTAAGTTAAAGTTTTATCCAATGTCACATAACAAAAAATCGGACCCAAGAATATAATGTTTGCGATGCAAGTTGAAGGGGGGGGAGGGGGCACGTTACTTTTCCATTATCGGGTTAATCTATTCGTACCTGCATATCCTGCGTGAGTACCAAACAAAACGAGTCGTTTCCTGTCATCATTTGTCAATAACTCGTAATCAATCAACCGTATTTTCTAAAATGAAAAAAAAATATTGACAAGTGAGCAGTTACGATAGATAAGATATTATAATAGAGTATAGACTTCATATGGGTGATATTGAACGGTCAATGTCAATTCACTTACCTTATCCAGAATGTCTTTGAGCATTGCCATATTGTACGGTTGTCCCTTGGTAGTATGAGAGAAGAATACATATGTTTTATTCGGAATTAAATTACGAGTCGGAACCTCTTTTATTCCTATTATTATGTCTGCTGGCGAGACATCTTCTTGTATTATGGCTCCAGCCTAAATTATGAAAAAGTAGAGTACTTTAGAGACACGCTCTTTGATTCACCGAAAACCCTATATTTATTTGATCTGATTGGCGGATATGTACCTCAGCATACTTTTCGTCATTGAATATTCTATTACTGCTTGGCTGAACATATACAGTTGTTCCGGTTTGTTTGATGATGTCACTTATTGCATCTGGCGTAAGTGCAACTCTGCGTTCCCACACGCTTTTGTCCTCTCTGCGAATGGCTATGCTTTTTGGAGCAGTTGATATTGATCGGAAAAAACGTGAGCGAGTGGAAGTTAAAGGTAATCTGGTCAGACGAAACATTACAACGATAATTAACGAATAAACAAAAGGGTCTGCGACGTTGAAGAGAAAGGGGTTGGGTTGGTGAGTATTTATGAATACTTATTTTATTGTGAATGACACGGATCTCATTGTCTATTCGTTATGTCCCACGGTCACATTGATGCACTAACAAAAATATTCCAATACCCCCCATTTTTGTGTCTAAAGAAAGTCACCAAAATTAAACTTTTACAGTATTAGTATAGCTGAACGGTATGTGTGTGGGAAAGTACCAGATCCGGAAGTCTTAACCATATGATCATTATCGTCACACAAGTTCCTCTATATAAGAACATATGATGTCAGTCAGAAGATTTATGTAAATATATTAATATTAATTAATATCAATTAATTAAACGGAAAAATAGCCCTTTGTTCGCAAGGTCCAATCGTTATGTAGTACTAATTTGATGTGCATGTCAGGTGATTATATGAATACGTTTACTATTACCTCCCAAAGGCAAGTCATGTATTTTCTGTGAACAAAGTGTGGGAGCTCTGTGTAATCAGCAGTTTAATGGAGAGAAGAACCTTTGTCGTAGATTTGGAAAAATCCCACACCTACGGACAAGTAGGGGAATAATTTGTGCGACAGAAGAGCTGCACTAAGTAACCTTAATCGTGAGAACTTCAAGAATCCAAGCGAAACTTAATAAAATAAAGCTTGTATCCAAGTTTAAAAATCAAACATTTCCATCTTAACTTACCATCTGAATTGCAGTCGAACCGCGAAAACCTAATATAGCGCAAAGTTGGTACCTTTTTATTCAAATTCCGTGCGATTTCTATTTGAAGAATTTATTATAAAACCGATAATATTTGTAGATAATAATAATAAATAAGGTTGTACATATATACACATAGTTGAATGCTTCTACTCTTAACAACGATGTGTAAAACAGGACGTAGTAATAACAAGCCAAGAGTTGTTTTTGCAATGCTTTCTTATGACATGCAAAAGCAATCAGATGATTTTTTACCCACAATGTCCATTACGTATCATTGTATATGTCGTTAGTACTGTCCAAACTTAAAGGATGGTTTACGGCATCATTTTCACAACATGTTAAGCTGTGTCGGTCATGGGTAATCAACCAAAAGATGGGTGCAAGCTCGTTTTTCATTGTGTACGTTACCAATATTGGGTATCATCCTTTTGCTAATACACATAATATTAATATTGATAAATGCAAAGTAAAAATACGACTTTTAAAAAGATTAAAACATTGAGGAAGAATGGCAAAACCTCAAAGTGATAAAAAGTCTACAATTCCCCTTTTACGGTTTTCTTTTACCAAATCCTGAGCATATTCGTACCTCTTGACTAATTTGGATTGCAAACAGTTACAACATTCAGAGTAAGCAAGTGACTTGTATAAACCTTCCTATACAACAGAAAAAAACTAATAAAATGGATTCCAATCACAAAGGTTTGGCTTTTCAGAGCTGGATGATATATCTTTCTTATAAACCGAATCGAGAAAATGGTGATCATGCGCTGTTTGTGTAGACCAACATTAAGATGCCAGGGAATATTCGAGTTCATACTATATGGATACTGTGCTTCCCTGATTCGCCCGGCCCAGTCAAAATCAATGATTTGACATTGTCATTTTTGTCACAAAGGCAATTTAGTTCCGGTAATAGCCATTAGTGATCGAACTAACTTTCTATAGTAATAAGGCATGCCGGAAAGCAGGTAGGTTGATACTAGTTTCAACGATCATAGAATAATATCTAGCATTTTGAAGCTACACGTTTGCTTCAGTTCCAAAGTTTGACTTAATTTCGACATTATACAAAAGAAATGAGACTCCCCCACAGTAATGAGATCTCGAAGAGTTCGTGGCATAGCTTGATCTCGTGTGTGTTTCAATGGGTATACCCTGAAACGCAAACCCCCGGACAATATCCTCTCTGATATTCTCTTCCTCGAATATTGATGTTGCCAATTTTAGGATTGCCATTTTCAGCTTTTAAATCAGCATCTTGTTAGGTCATTAGCGACAGGAATTTGTCAAACGTACGAGCACCATTCGATTGGCATAATGGCGTGGTGAAGAAAGTTGGCCAGTTCTTCCAATGACTTCCTCCGCGTGGAAAAACCTGCAATAACGAGACGACGTTAACGCATTATAAGAGATCAAAAAACGCAGCTCTGCGTGTGTTACCGCTCCTCGGATGAGTTGGCTTTTAGTTCCGTAATTATTTCCTGGGCCAAGTCGGGACGAGTTGTCTTGCGTTTCTTCAGATAGTTGCCTAATAGTCAAAATTGTATTTCAATTATTTTCCCAATGAAAACTATATTATGACTACTCTATCTTATGTACAGATCATGAACCAAAAAAGTCTACAATTATATTAAGCCCGTAATACAACTATGTACACACTATGTCCCCCAACGTCAGTCACAATTGCTTTTTTTTATCTGTTTGTGTGTGTTGTTTTTTTATATAAAATAACTAAAAAACAAACGAAATAAAAACGAGATAACCACAAAGAAACTAATAAAAAAAACAGAAACGCAAAAGCTAGAACCAAAAAAAAAAATAAATTTTAATTTATAGAAAACATAGAAACACCGTGCAAACCATAAAACAAATTATACAAAATTTGGGTCCCAAAACGCGGAGGCGAAGTGACATTTTCCCCCCCACTCTCTCACTTCCTACTTACTTCCTAACTTCCTCGACTGTCTCTTCTCCAGCAAACGTTTCTGCTTTTTATCTTCTAGTTTTCGTCAATTCTTCAATAACAATCTCTCGTCAGTATTTCTTCCTTCTTCGTATAATCAAGCTTTTTTTTTTGCTTCTTCGGTCATTTTGTTGTCCAGATACTGCCACGGTGATGTAATCTAGTATGCTATTAGCGGGACTATATGTGTCAGTTTTTTATTTGCTGATAGTAAATCACATACCTTTAAATGTATCAAGCTATGTTTATAAAATCTGTACTGATAAAACATATTTCAACGCCTGCCATACAAGAAGATAAAAACACTTTTCCGTTTTACTTAACAAAATATGGCTTTGCATATATAAAAACATGGGTTGAGGAATATTTCTCCACTTTTTTATATTAAAATAAAATAATACCTTTACTTCTTGTAGCAGAATTTGACCAATGCGCAGAAATTTGCGCTTGTTGTAATTAGCATGGCACGTAAACGAATCGTGTACTATAAAACAACACCACCCTTACTTACATTTTTAATAAATATTGTAAAAAGCAAACCCAAGCAAATCCAATAACAATCTTCATCAACAAAAACTGTTGCAATAAAAACTTAATTTTCTGAGCAAAAAAAAATTGAAATATTTATTGGTTTCGTTGACAACATGGAATATTACAAGACTATAAAGTCCAGAAAGTTTTCAAAAACGACGAACAAATTTACTCGCCGGATATCGAAACGTTGTGGAACGATTTGAGACAATTATACTATAGAAGAGCTGAATTAGATCCAAAATTTTTATTAACAAAATGGTATTTAAAATTAACAATTTACTCGACAAACAAAAGGCTATTGCTGCATCTACAGTAAAAAATTTTATCTTTGAAGGACAACTCCACGGAAAAAACTATTGAGATAATTCAACGTTGGGTTGAGGAAGAAGAGAGAAAAACTGCAAATTACTCAGATGGGGAAAATGAAAAATTGAGTATTTTAATAAATTAATGGTAAAGAAGATAATAAAGCTTAGATTTGCACCAGAGTGACCAAAAAATAGGTTATACTCATCAACAGCTTTGAGAGAAGTATTTTCTCCCGTGCAACTATTTTGATGAGCTATTGTTAATTTATATCTTGAAAGCAATCAATTACAGTTTATAATAAAGATATTAAACAATTAGATACAATTTGGTTTCCGTAAAATTTTACGTAGTTTTGGCACGTTTTTTCTATGAATTACGCTACAATTCCATTACTGCGTCTACGTACGAGTAAAGTTTCCGCCGCTTGCGGGAATTGTGCTTACAAAAATTGAATTTGTTGTGTAATTTTGATTTTTTTTACAATTGCATCAGCGAATCGCAATCAAAGCCCAGCGAATGCACTTGAGGACAAGTAGTAGTTCAAGTTTCGTATCGAATAAAGAGTTACAGTACTATTCAAAAGTAACCGGACACATCTAACTTCTCCAAAAATAAAGCGATTTGAATAAAATTTTTTTTATTTTAAAGTACAACACCAACCCTAATCCTAATATAAAGTATAGTCGCCATTAGCTTCTATTAAGGCAGTAATGCGTCGTTGCATGCTTTCAACTAAATTTCTCGCAAGTTCATTTGGAAGACTCTTCCATTCCTTTACTAATTCCGCCTTTAAACCATTAATTGTTCGAATCTTTTTTTTGCTAATCCTAATCTTCATAATCCTCCAAACATTTTCAATAGGATTTTGGTCGGGTGACATTGATGGCCATGGAAGTTCCTTAATACCATTTTCGACCTTTCAACTTTTCGCTATTTTTGACCTGTGTTTGGGATCATTATCTTCCTGCAAAATCCAATTATCATCATCAACCCCAAAAAGCCTATTGACAGAAGATAAAAGCCCTTTTTCATAAATAGTACACATAAAATCCGCATTCAGGTTTCTTTGAAAGCATATTAAATCACCGAAACCTGAAGCTGAA